AGTAGAGACATCACCCGGTCAACAAAAGTATAGTCAAAGCAAGGGTATTCCCAATAGTAATGTATAGCTGCAAGAGTTGAACCATAAGAAAGGCCAAGTGCCGAAGAATAGCTGCTTTTGAATTATGGTGCTGGAGAAGACTCTTGAGAGTCCCTTGGACTACAAGGAGATCAAATCAGTCAATCCTAAAAGAAATTAACCCTGACTGTTCCCTGGGATACCGAAGCTGAAGCTCAGAAACTTTGGTCACCAAATGAGAAGGAAGCACTTACTGGAGATAACCTTGATGCTGGGAAAGATTGAAGGTAAAAGAAGAAGGGGACAGCAGAGGATGAGATGGTTAGACAGTGTTACCGATGCAACGAACATGCAATTGAGCAAACTCCGGAGGATGGCGGAAGGCAGGAGGACCTGGCGTGATGTGGTCCATGGGGTTGCAGAGTTGGACTCAACTGTGCAACTGAACAAACAACACCACACTACATATTTATATGAAGACATTCTGGAAGATTCAGTTCCTTTTGCAATAACTCCTAGCACAAAATATGCCTCTTATGAATGCAGACAGAGTTGATGTTTTCATTGAGCTATCTACCACAACCCTATGAGTTGGCCTATGTAACTACACTTGCAAGCTTCTTGTCTGTCTCTGTTTCAGTGAAGACTGAACCCTAAGAGGCCTGGGGCATTTGCCTGCACCATGAAGGAAAGCTACCAAATGTATTTCTACTGTTTCCAACACTGCCTTGGTCAAAGATTCTAAAATTACTATTCTGGCTTAAAGGTAATGTGTATCAAGTCATAATACAGTTTATATGGAATAAATTACCTTTTTTAGTTGCTTCAGAAGTGTCACTCTCGGGCTTGCTTGTCAGAGCATTGATCAGCTGCAGCTTCTCTCTCAGTTTGGATACCTGAGACTCACCATTTTCTATTTTCTGTACACCACCACCAGAAGAATTTCATTAACAACCCCTGCTTCTTTCACCATAAATGAGTTGCACAACTTATTCCAAATATATTTCAAAGATGCATAGAGTATTGCCATACAAAATGTTTGTTTTATAGTGCTAAAACGGCTGAATTGTTCTACTGAATTCACTACGGAAAAAGAGGATCCCACAGTAGGAGAAGGAACATAAAGCATAAAAACTCATGACAGCTCAGTTTCCCAAAGTACACCATAGGAGAGCTTCACTGTCCCAGGAAAATAAATAAATATATATATCTCCAACGAACTCTGTTCAGTTAGAGAAGTAGGAACACATAAAGCACTCATTGTGTTTGTTATCAAAAAGCTATACACTCTCTGAGTGAAAGTCATACATGAAAGACTTTATAACCATTAGCAGGAGTTTTTCATTTAAGGCTCTCTAAAGCACCCTGCATACCTTGCTCTCATAAAAAAAACAAGAGGGTTCTAGAGTTCATGTACCTATGACAAAGTACAGATGAAAAAAGCTGAGTAGTTTAACAATGTGATTCTCTACTGTCTCTCCCGAGCCTGAGTTCATTACCTTGCCCTCCGGTCCTTGGGGGCAAACACGGCATGTCAGTACACAATTCTTAATAAAAAAACCACCTTATTTTAGAAACTAGTTCTTAAGAGTTACCTCCATATTTTGTACATTTTCAGTAGTAGTTTCATTTCTTGGTTCACTTTCTACATTCACAGAGGTAGTTAAGTCACCCACCTGCAAGAGATATGAAAGTTCTAGTGTGTAAAAAGCTAAACAGTTTAGCTTTTTCAAAGATGATAGAAATCGTAACAAGACAGAAATCCAGTTTCATAAATATTAAAGACTAATATAAAAATCTGCATTGAAGAAAGCTGATAATAGCACAGAGGCTTTTCTGCACATACTGAGATTACTGGCAGCCTACAGGAAGCTCTGAGCTGCAGCAGACAAAAGCAGGTTGGATGTTTAATTGATCAGAGGAAAGGAAGACAGACTAGCAATTAATGGCACATCAGCAAGGAGGCTATATTGTGCCATTATATTATATCTCAAACAACAAATAAACAGAACAGCATAGCATTCAAATAATTGCAACGGTAGTAATAAAAAAATAGCACAGGTACTACTAAGGAGCAGGGATCTTGTTTGCCAAATTCTAGCAAGAACACAATGCACCATAGCCAGTTAAGACCACAAGTGTTTTGTAGTCAGTATACATATGAAATCCTAACAGTAAAAGTATTACTACTACAACTTACTAACTATGTTAATGAATATGATGCTTTATATATCAGGGTTCCCCAATGTAGTGTCCATGGGTGCCATGGTGCCTGCCAACACCTTTCTTGGTGCCCACCAAATGTTTTTAGAAGTGAGTGAGATCAGGAGGAGTAGGACTTCTGATTCGCCAAAGCAGGGCTTCTGATTTGTCACTAAAGATCCGACTGGCTATGCAGATCAAAATAACATTGTTTCAGTGGCACCTACCCCACAGTGTTCGTTTTATGCTCTCATGCCACTCTCTTTCCCAGTGTATTTTTGATTACCCCTTTTCTCCAAAATTCAGCTTCCTCTTTCTGTAAGTCCCCATCTCCTGAGGCAATCTTTGGTGGTTGGGATCCTCCTCCTGAGGCAGCCATTCTGTGGCTGTACCCACCACACTGTGTCAGAATTCCAAAGGTGCCCACAGGCTCAAAAAGGTTGGGGACCCCTACTTTACAACATACAAGAAAGCAGCCCCAGTCTCAAAGAGCTTGCAATCTAACATGGGAGACAAACAAGAACAGAAAGGCAGGGGAGCAAGATGGAGGAAAGGATAAGCAGGAGGAATTTGTTTATTCCTGTTACTTTTTCTAAAGAAGACCAAGACTAAAGAAGCTGTGCCAAAGGTTTCATGGAAAAAGTGAATTTCAGGGACAGATTTGAAGGTGTAATTATGGCATCATTGAGATGTTCTGGGAAGTATTTACTGAGGGCAGCAAGGCTGGAGTCATTTGAGAAAGCAAGAGACCTTTGGACAGTTAAGGGAGAGTTAAGTAAGGAATAAATTTTGATTGGAAAGAAGAGAAGGGAAGGCCATGGAAGATTGGAAAGAAGATTGGAAAGAAGAGAAGTCTTCGGCCATCCTCCAAAGAAAGAAATAACCACTCCTATCTATCATGTCTATCAAGGTCAGTCACACCCTAAAGAAAATATAACTTGAAGGAGCTGCAGCCCAATTAAAATAAACAATTAAAAACAGATAAAGTTAAATAAAATAAAAACTGTTCATGGAGTTCAGCTACAATACCACAGCAGCTGATTAGACCAAAACCCAAAACTCAGTGTAGAATTTGACAAAGGAAAATCAGGTGCCCCATTAGCAACCTAGTGTGATGATACCATCGATTAACGAGCCACTTCTCTCAGTCCAGAGGATGACTTTATTAAAAGGTGTTTCACTTACAAGATTTCTGTTTAGAATGGCGTGCAATACATCAAGCAGGTAACAGGAACAAAGTTCAAACAGACTCTATACCAATGAGACACTTTCCCGCCCGGGAAGAACCGCGCCAAAGTAATGGGAATCCCAACGGCTTGGATATTCCAAAACATCTTAGTTCCCATGCTCTGAGCGATATCAGTAGACATAAGCGAGCTCCCTTATCTCCCACCTGTCCTTGAAGTGTTTCTGCGTTACGCTAACAAGCTTGCCGTTTATGAGCATGCGCATGGGTCACTAGGCAACAACTATCAACATATGAGTTAATACAGAAAGCATTGCATGTTAAGAGGTCCCAACAGGTGAAGCATATATACAATGAACAAATCATGACAGCTTGCTGACACCTAGAAATAAAATCTTTCAATATACAATCCCCTCTGTGCCTGGTCATTTGGAGGATGTCTCCTTATGTGTTTTTTTTTCTATTTAAGAGAGCACAAGAGATCATACGACATTTTACAAAGTAACATAAAGACAAAATTTCCAAAGCAGATTACAATTGTCATAGCAACACCTGGGAGATAAAGGGAAGGAATATGCATAAGTGTAACACTTAGGTTCTATTTCAGTTGGGAATGAGTACAAATGAAGTGTTATTTGTACTCTAAAAATCTAAAAAGGCTATATCTGTTGAAAGCCGGACACCACCCCAGCAAATCTGGCTGAAGTCCATGGTGGGATGGTTAAAACAGAGCTGGCTGAGACTGAATCCTTCTAAGATGGAGGTTCTTTGGTTGGGACTCAGGTTTAGGGAACCAGCTCATGGCTCTTGACAGTGTGCAAAACCAGCATCAATCGTCAGGAGCCTGGCTGTGGTTCTCAATGCCTCCATGTCAATGGAGACCCTGACCACAAATATTGCCCCACTGGCATTCTTCCAGCTGTACCAGGTTAGGCAACTGGCTCCGTACCTGTATCACCCTGACCTAGCCACAGTAATCCACGCAATGGTCACTTACAGATTAGACTATTGTAACTCGCTCTATGTAGGGCTACCCTTGAGACTGACCCAGAAACTCCAACAGGTCCAGAATATGGCAGCGCGGGTCCTTATGGGGACCCCACAAATGGCACATATTCAGCCTGTGCTACATGACCTGTACTGGCCCCCGGTGGAGTACCAGATCAAGTGCGACGTTCTGGTGTTAACATTTAAGGCCCTTAATGGTCTGAGACCCATGTATCTTTGAGACTGCCTCTCCGAAATGGGTTGCGCTCAGCAAATAGCAACTTACTGGTGGTCCCTGACTCAAGAGATATTCGGCTGTCTTTAACCAGGGCCAGGGCGTTTTCTGCCCTGGCCCCAATCTGGTGGAACTCCTTGCCAAATAATATCTGGCCCCTGTGGGATCTAATGCAATTCCACAGGACCTGTATGACAGAGGTGTTCTGCCAGGCGTTTGGTTAAGGACAGCAATGGTTTCCATCAGTCTGACATTCCTGTCTCCTGTCCCCCACGAGGGAGTGGCATAATCGGTAGTTTAACGCCATCCTATCAGGTTTACTGTATTTTTATTGTATTTTTACTGTTTTAATTGTTCAACTAATGTATAATTGTTTCCTATTGATGTACACCTCCCTGAGCCCTGCCTTGCAGAGGGGGGCAGTTTAAAAATTTAACTTAACACAAGGTATAGCTAGGGGCTCTGGGGCAAGTGATGCTCTGTCTTCTTGGTGCTTGGGGGGGGGGGTCAACAGTGGGAGGGCTTCTAATGTCCTGGCCCCACTGCTGGACCTCCTGATGGCACTGGTATTTCTGGCCACTGTGTGATACAGAGTGTTGGACTGGATGGGCCTTTGGCCTGATCCAACATTGGCGTCTCTTATGTTCTTATGTTCTTAATAAACAGTAAGGATTACAGCTAGATACACAGGTTACCATGTAGATATCTGTATAACTAGGATTTCTACCCACCATAGCAATCACACTCACTGTCTCTTTCTTTGCTTTTCCCTGAAGTCCCATCACTGCCGGGTTAAATGTGAAGAAGCAGAAGCAGTGAAATTGATTCTTATTTGTGTGTGCGTGCACTGGCCGCAAAAACCTCCATTCTAGCCTAAAGCCTATTAGTTCCTTGCTTTCAATTCCAAAAGGCCCAAGAAAAAAAAGTGTCATAAAAAGAAGTCTCCAGCTGGAAACAAGATAAACACGCAGAAATTGACTTTGCATAAGTCCAACCTCAGCAACTGACTTTGTAGAAGGTTTATCTAGATGCAGGATCTTAATGTATTCTGGTCAGAAACAGCACAAATTCACTAATGATTCAGATAGAAGCTTCTTTCCAACATGATCAATACTATGTCCTCATATTGTATTACAACTTAGTTACTTGTTAAAATTGCAGCACAGTTCTCGTGGATGTTCAAAGTACACCTGCCTATCATTATCATAACCCACAGAAGCTCAGCAAATGAGACATCTGAGATTATTGTGCAATCTAGGGTGAGGCAACAGCAATCTATTCTGTGACAGATATAGTTGTTGCATAAGTTCATTAATTCCACCTGCGAACACTGATAGTAGAGAGATATCCAGGGAATAAATAAAAATTCTGCTTCACTATCTTTTTTTGAATTTCACATGCCAAGAAAGATGCACCTTTCAACATCTTTCAGAAAGTGGATTTTTAAATGTTAGTTCATTATCTGTGTAGAAAAACTGGTATATTAAAGCCTGTGACCGGAGTTACTGCTTTGGAAAGATTCATTTCTCAATAAACTCTATTGCTAGACACTTACCACAGTGAGGGTCAGGTTTTCTTTTTTCTCCAGTTTATTAAAACCCTCCATATGATTTTCTAATGAAGCAACTCTCCAGCTTAAATTGTTGACTGTGGAATCCATACTGAAGAGTTTTAAATCATTCTGTTTCTGGTATAATATTAAAGTTGAGTTTACCTCCTCTAGAGAGGTATGCAGATACTGGTTATCCTGTTTAAACACAACATCAGTTTTCATTACTCAAATGTGGAAGCAATGAAGCAGCAAGAATAATTAGCACTTAAAGCAAGTGTCTTCATTACTCTAGGTACATCTCATTTCACTGATCTCTTATCCTATGTATATATACACAGAAGTTAACTGAAACCAGTACAGGGTTGTAGCCGGGGGGGGGGGGCATTGGGGGGAAATGCTCCCCACAAACGAGTGCTGCCCCCTCAGAATTTTTTAAATGAATATTTTTTTAAAAAAAGATGTGTGGGGGTGTTCCAAGAAGACCCCAAGCATAGTCAGGAAAGTTTCACACTCATTTTTTCTTTTTTCCAGGCCGAAAAATAGATTTTTTAAAACTGCAATAAAATAAAATTGCAAACCCCCCTGCAAAATGTAAAATAGAGACAGTTGGAGATCCCCCCCCCAGGCTTACACAGAAAAGCAGCCCAGAACTGAGTCTCTCCAATCAAAAGGACTAGAGGTCGCAGTGGAACTGAAGCTGCTTCTTCTGCTGCTGCAAGAGGAGCAGAAGGTGCACTTGAGGTGCCCCCCCCCCGATTTCCCCATGCCCCACCAACCAAAATTTTCTAGCTACGCCCCTGGACCAATATAGCTTATTTCCAAGCAGCATGAGATATACAGGTTATATCTATGGTCAAATTGTCCAACAACTTCTTAAACTACAAGAAGGTTAATTTTAATTGCTTGAAATTTGAACTAAGGTGTGCTCTTCTAAAAGTGAATGTAAAGGTAAATTGCAAGCACAATTATTAATGCAGACTATCTTCAGAGAATACGTAGCCTTTGCAGATGATACAAAATAATGTTCTAGCATATGTGCCCATACCTAAGAGCCTTACAGCAGTCTAATAAGTTATTTTCCTAGAATGAACAATTATTCACTCTGAGTGACCAGCAACAAAGTTTAAGAGCTACTTTGGGTACTGTCACACAATTTACTTATTTATTTATTTCAATTTGTATCCCGCCCTCCCCGCCGAGGCGGGCACAGGCGACTTATATAACATTTCATGAAGTACACTACAGTTAAAAGACTGTCAAGACATAAAACAAATCACATAAAATAACAGTAATTTAAAATATTCCTAAAAGTGCTAGAACATCCAAATAAAACAAGAGCAAAACGGTCTCTATGGCCTGGTTTAGGTGGCTGTATAGTTCCAATGCCTTCCACACCAGCTTGGTTCTCCCACTTATTGTGCGGCGAGCACAGGCCGGAGGTAGCACTGGTAAGCCAGGGCATGGCTGGAGGCATGGCTGGAGATAAAAGAAGGTAGAACCAGGGCAGAGGGACACTCTTTGGTATATAATGCAGGTCCTAATCAAACACCCAGTGGAAGAGCTCCGTTTTACAGGCCCTGCGGAACTGTAAAAGGTCCTGCAGGGTCCTGATCTCTTCCGGGAGCTCATTCAACCAAGATGGAGCCACTACCAAGAAGGCCCTAGCCCTGGTAGTCACCAGAGTACTATCCTTGGGGCCTGGAAGGGCTAGCTGATTTTGCAGCCCTGATAGCAGTGCTCTCCGGGGAACATGTGGGGAAATGCGGGCTATCAGGTATGCCAGACCCTGACCATATAGGACTTTAAAGGTAAAAACTTGCACCTTGAAATGAATCCGGTATGCTATCGGCAGCGAGTGCAGTGCCTTCAGCACTGGTTGGATGTGCTCCCACAAAGGGACACCCATCAACAGCCTGGCTGCTGCATTCTGCAATAGCTGCAGCTTCTGGATTTGCAACAAGGGCAGCCCCATGTAGAGATAATTACAGTAGTCCAATCTCGTGGTGACCATCGCATGGATCACTGTTGCCAAGTTGTTACATTCAAGGAAAGGAACCAACTGCCTGATCAGCCAAAGATGACAAAAGGCCAACCTGGCAGTGGCTGCTACTTGGGCCTCCATTGTTAAGGAGAAATTCAAGAGCACTCCCAAACTCCTAACCTCCGGTGCTGGCACTAGCTGCGCTCCATCAAAGGACAGGAGTGAGATCCCTACCCCCAGACCGCCCCGGCTCAGGCACAGGACCTCCATCTTCGTCGGATTCAATTTCAGCCGACTCAGACTAAGCCAACCAGCCACGGTTTGCAATGCCTGGTCCAGATTTTCCAGTGTAGAGTCAGACTGGCCCCCCAACAACAGATAGAGCTGGGTGTCATCTGCATACTGGTGACACCCTAGCCCATGCCTTCCAGCAATCTGGCTAAGGGGGCGCATATAGATGTTGAATAACATCGGGGAAAGTACCACCCCTTGGGCCATGCCACAGATCAATGGATGCTTTCAGGACAGTTGTTCCCCTAGCGCCATCCTTTGTCCCCGACCCTGGAGAAAAAGATGCGAACCACTGTAAGGCAAGCCCCTGGACTCTGGCATTGGCGAGGTGGTAGGTCAGTAGCTGATGGTTGACCATGTTGAATGCTGCCAATAGGTCCAACAGCATCAGTACCACCGTTCCGCCTTGGTCCAAAGGTCATCTGCGAAAGCGACCAGTACTGTCTCCGTCTCATGTCCCGGGCGGAAGCCGGACTGGAAGGGATCTAAAATGAAAGCGTCATCCAAGAAGCTCTGTAACTGAACCGCCACAGCCCTCTTGATTAGCTTGCCCAAATAGGGCAAATTGGAAACCGGCCGGTAATTAGCCAATTCGGCTGGATCCAGTGATGGTTTTTTCAAGAGGGGACGAACCATGACCTCGAGTGTCCCCGGGAACAAGCCCTCTAAAAGAGGTTAATAATCTCCCTTAGGGCATCTTGAAACCCCTTGTGACCCGCTTTAATGAGCCACGATGGGCATGGATCAAGGAGGCACGTGGTAGGGCACACAGTTAGGAGCAATTTGTCGACTTCCTCTAGGCTGAGTGGACTGAAATAATCCAAAACCTGACAAGAAGATGTGCATGGAGCCTCGAGTTCACTCACTGTTTCAACTGTGGTAGGCAGGTCACGGCGGAGCGACAAGAGTTTATCTGCAAAATAGCTTGCAAAAACCTCACAGCCAATGTCCAATTCCCTAATGTTTGGCCTGCCTTGTGGCTGGGTCGTCATTGACCGAATTGTTCTAAATAATTTACCACTGAAACATTCAAGACACCTATTACCATTCAAAACACAGTGAACATTAATTCTTTCTGTGTTCAAATTTAACTATTTGTTCTCCTTTTCTTGCTGCTATGTCTACTTTCAAACACTCACACATACTGGTTTTAACACATCAAAAGTAACTTTCTTATTACTAAACACCTTGTTCCAAGCAGTAACATTAACCAATGACTGTAACACTGAAAAACCTTCATAGTTAAAGTAGTTTTTACTCTTAGATGCATATCAAATTGGTAAATGAGAAGTACCTGTTTACAGCTGTCTGTCAGATTCTTTTCACTTATTTGAGGAACATGAGAAGTGGAAGCTGAAGGCATCTGTTTTCCTCTAACACTTTTTGTGTTTTCACTCTGAAAAAAATTAACATGTATTCTTCACATTAATTCTTCATCTTGGAGCACTGAGATTAAGCCTTCAAAGACATACCTAAGAACTAAAGTCAAGCAGAATTTGACACACAACATATTAGTTCTCTTTGTTAATGACACAAAAATGTAGCAGCCCCTGTATTCCCCTATCAAACTCTGATTTGTTTGTAAGAGAATGAGCTAATTTGTGCTTGGACTGAAAGCTTTTTCCAATTCCTTAAATAAGTGGACTGAGAACTCCTTTCCCCTTACTCTCAACAAAGCTGAAATGGAAAAATTTCCAGCTTGAAATAAATAACATTTAACTGTGACATCTGAACAGGGGCACTTAAGCTGTGGTTTCATTCTTGTCTACAAACTTGGAATCTGAAGCTTTCTGCATTTAGACATCACAATAAACCAGAGTTGATCAATGCCATTCAATTTTGATGTCTGAATGCCAATTAAAAAACCATACAAAAATTCAAGTTACGGTTGTAGCTGATTCATTAACTACCCTGTACTACTTGTGATTTGTTGCAAAGTCTGAGTTCACAGAACAATTTTTTGCACTGCCCCTTCTTGCCATGCGGCTACCAAAATAGCAATATAGGGATGACGTTTACACACAAACAGTATCTTGTTGCCTACATCTGACAGACTTACCAGAGTTTGTACAAACAAGCCACAGCTTATGATGCCTGAATGTATTCAGGCTTGAGCTATAATTCAAAAGTGATTTGTAGCCCAAGAAACAAAGTATTCCTTGTTTACTGTTCCATTTGAACATTATAATAAACTGTAATTTCTTTTAAACAGAAAATCTTCAACCTCAGCTGCACACACAAAGAAGAAAAGAAGGAGTGCATGAGCTCAAGGATAAACTATGTATGTTCATAATATCAAAACGGGGGTTTGTTCATGATGTCTAAATGCTGCCAATATGTCTGAAGACAGTATAGCTGCAATGTAGTCACACAGTGGGTGCGTTCAGATGGGGGCTTTACATCGGTTAGGGTGCCCGTTCCAACCGGTGTACTTACGGGCGTTCACACGACGAACATCTGCCTCCCGTCCCTAACCGGTGTAAAGCCCTTTACACCGTTGCACTCTGCCACTAGGTCCCAAGTGGTGGTATACTGAGTGCAACGGTGGCTTCCGGTTTACCCCGGCGTCTGATCGCTCTCCACCGGTGCCTTGCCATTTCCGTCGGAAGCCTGAGGCTTCCGGCTTTCCCCCGCCATTTTTTTTTTAAAGTAAGCGATATGCGCTCGGGCAAAGCTTCGCCCTGAGCGTTTGTTAAGAAAAAATATATCCCTTAGTTTAACTTCCCGGAGGAGTCCGGGACTTAAGGGAGACCAGGTTGGGCTTTAAACTTTAAAGGTAAGTCCTTACCTTTAAAGTTTAAATTTAATGGGGGGGGGGGGTTTGAGCATGCGCAAAGATCGCAATTCTCTGAATGGCTGCCTATGCGCATGCTCAAACTGTGCTTAAAAAAAAAACACGCCGACGCCCGCAGCGTGTGAGCGGGCGTACACCGGAGGGATCTGCAAGATGGAGGTAAGTGTGATCGCGTTTCTGCCGGCATAAACTGCACCGGTTCCAACCAGTGCAGTTTATGCCGGCAGAAAGGCCCCGTCTGAACGCACCCAGTATGTAGTCACATACTATTTGGGATTTTTCTAACTATTGTTCCCTCAATGTGAAATATTGAAGGAATTTATCATTCAATAGAAGTCATATCTAATTGCCTTGGTTGATTTTTAGTACTATTGTTAAAGGCTTTCCTGAACCCAGAACAGTGAGTTTTCATTCTATATAAAGAAAAGTTAGAAAAATCCCAAATGTCTGGACACCCATCTGCCCAATGGGAAAAAAACCCTGACTTTGTCTAATTTTGTGGTACCGTTACATGTGGTTCTTAAGCTTTTGATTTGTGTCTTGGATGTGAAGTAGCAGTTCAGTTTCAGTTCTTATTACGGCTCACAGTCCATTCAGAAGCAGAATAAAACACTTTTTCTAAAATTAGTTACCTAGGTAACTACCTACATAAAGCTTTAGCATACATCATTTATTTTAAAATAAGTAATAGTTTAAGGGTTCGAATCTGAAATATTTTTCCAGTCCTGATAACAGTGTATCATTAACATTAAGGGAAATGTTCAGAACTTCCTAGTATATACCTGATTGCACAGCAGGCATACATAAAGTATATTTTCTCTCAGTATATATTCTCTCTGTACATGTCCTTACCATATCACTTTGCAGTGTTTCTATGGTTTTCTTATGTTCTTCAATTGCAGCCTGCAGAGTCTCAACATCTCGATGGACACTGGTTACAGTGCTTCCTATAGTAGCAACACTCTAGGGCAAATAATCAAACAGTACTTTTGTAGTCCCAGACACTTTTGCTGGCAAGGGCCTATTTCATCAGAAGCAACATGCTATTATCAAATGCGAGGTTTTACCAAGACAGTCACATTTTCTGTATATGGGATCCACAATCCACCGAGGACTGCTTCATGAGCTATTCTTAACATAAATAATTTGAGTATAGGAAAAGCAGCATATATACTGCATTTACACAATCACATGCAAGAGTACACATGTATTATTTTGTCACAGAAATTGGAAAATTAAGTAAAACTACATTCTCTCTCTACACAGAAGTGTGCCATAAGTAGGGTTGCCAAGTCGTTGCAGTCGCTGCAGTGGGGGACTCCCAGGCGGCGACTGAAGCGCGCGTGCGCCGCACGCACATCACCCGGAAGTGATGTTAGGATGCCAGGCACGCTGGGGGCGGGGCCACGACCATCGGAGGGAAAACCATAGAGTTTTCCCTCCGATGGTCGTGGCCCCGTCCCCAGCGTGCTCGGCGTCCTAACGTCACTTCGGGGCAGGGTTCCCCCTGGGGCCCGATCCGCCGGCGGCGGGGAACGGGCCTCTGGGGCGGGGGTTTCCCCACCCCCCGGGAGGACTTGGCAGCCCTAGCTATAAGACACATGCTCTGGCTATACACATTTCTATATAAAAGTATCCAAACTGCTGCACATGAAGTAGCCCTCAGAGATACATACTTGCCAATATAAAATATAAGTAGCCCTTAGGGATGCATACTTGGTTCTAGCCAGGTCATTCACTGGGGAAAGTGGGAGGGGTCCCCTTTGACCACTAAAAAGGCTATGCTGGGGATCATGGGACCTGCATGGACAAAAGCCATATAGGACAGGAGCTATTGTAAAGAGAGGAGTTAGGTCAGACCAACTGAAAAAACTGGCTGGATCCAGGCAACCATTTTACTCTACTGGGACGGCACTCAGACTAGTTTGCAGACTAGATTATAAATCCCCATCTTCTGATTTTGTTCCATTTCTTTTGATATGAATTAGGAGTTCCCTTCGTAGTATAGCAAATGAAAGGCTGAAAGTATCTTATATATATAATTATCCTAATGGGTTGGCCATTCCCCGCTCTCCCATTGGCTGTGCTGTGCGCTCCATCAGCCATTGGCCCATCAACCACAATTCAAGAATAACTGTGTACCATTGGCTGTGTGCTGGGTCTGATCCTCTTCCCCACCCACTGCCACCTCAGTCACTGTTCCCTGTCAGAATAAATGCCAAAACGGCTGTCTCTCCTGATGAAGACACTTTTCCTGCTTGGCTCCTGTGGGACTAACGTTTCCCTCAGTGGCTGTTGTTAGGCAACCAAGCTTGGTTCTATCAATAAAAAGGTAAAGAAAAGAAGCTCTTTCCAGGCTTTTGTGGGGAACTCATTGGGGCCAATCATGACTAGGGTTGCCAGCTCCAGGTTGGGAAATTGCTGGAGATTTTGTGCTGAAGTCTATGGAAGCCAGGGTTTGGGGAGGGGAGAGGCCTTAGCTGAATAGAATGCTATAGAGTCCACCCTCCGAAGCAGTTATTTTCTCCAGGAGGAGATCTGTTGTCTGGATTTCAGTTGTGATACCAAGTGATACCACAGCCAGTGTGGTGTAGCAGTTAGCACTTCAGAGCAGGGTCTTCCAGACCCAGGTTCTTGCTGTGGAAGCTGAGTGGATGATTTCGGACCAGTTACAGACTTTCAGCCTAACCTACCTCACAGGGTTGTTGGGCAGATCAAAAGGGGGAGAGGAGATTGATGTAAGCTGCTTTGGTCCCCACTGCAGAGAAAGACTGTATTTTTCCTCCTGGGGAACCATTGGTGCCAATCTCCAGGTGAGGGCTGCAGATCACTCAGAATTACAACTGCTCTCCAGATGACAGAGATCAATTCCCCTGGAGAAAATGACAGACTCTGTGTCCTTATACCCTGCTGAGATAGCCCCCCTATGACAGCCAGTGTGACATAGCAGTGACAGCCAGTGTGACATAGCAGTCAGGGCTTCAGAGCAGGGTAGAGGCTGCAGGTGGGGGTGTAGGGGTGGAAAGCTGAAGTCAGAGGGGCAGATAAAGGTAGGTTGATGATTGGCTGGGAAGGATATAGGGTTGCCAACTCCAGGTTGGGAAATGCCTGGAGATTTGGCGGGTGGAGCCTGGAGAGGGTGAGGTTTGAGGAGAGGTGGGACCTCAACAGGTACAAAGCCATAGACTCCACCCTCCAAACCAGCCATTTCATCTTGGGGAACCACTGCTGCCCATCTCCAGGTGAGGGCTGGAGATCACTCAGAATTACAGCTGCTCTTCAGATGGCAGAGATCAGTTCCCCTGGAGAAAACAGTGGACTCTGTGTCATTATATGTTGCTGAGGCCACCACAGCAAATTGACGCTGATTGTCCAAGGCCAGGGCACCCGCCCATAGCCTCCTTCTAGAGCTCATTGTATTTTTTTCCACAACAGGCCTTATTCCTAGTTAATAATAATTTTCTCAAGTAATAGCAGAGGAAGCAGCTTTTAAACTAAAAGCAGAATGCACACCGAGACTATCTTTAAAATATTACAGATAACATTTCAGGTCAAATTACTAAATTCTTGAAAATACAACATCAGTAGCAAGTATTTTTTGTATGATGCATTACAGAGCATGGGAATTTTCAGCCAGTGATCTGATGCCATTGTGGCTGCAATACAATTTGCACAGTATACTCACAGTATCACATCTGGGGGGGGGGGAATATCAGTAAATACAGATGTACTTACTTTCGCTAGCTAGTTCTACACACTGTGAAACATAACTGAGCCCTGCACTCTTCCACTACACATGCTTCCTACAAGTGGTTTACAGGACTCACAGGTGCACATTTATATATTTCTCACTACATTGTAAAATAGATATATACTGGAAGAAGCCTACTGAAATCAGAAACCAAAGCCATGCAAAAGCATCTCAGTCATGCCTGTGTCTTGTTTTTTAATAGTTCACATGTTAACTATGACTTTAAGAGTTACAATTTTAGATTCACAAGGCAGATATAGTACATACTTTCTGAAGCTCTTCTACTGTGATAGGAAGATTAATCAAATCAGAAGCAGATTTAATGTTTGCTTTGAGATGATTTACTGCTGAAGCCAAGAAAGATATCTGAAAACACAAAGGAACACACATATCAATGAACATAAGAACACTTTTTATTCACTGTCTCTCAGTGGGTGCCGCTGATAAAATACATAGCTTGCAGTAAGCTAGGTTCTGAAGGGTACGCATCCCCCACTAAGGCTCAGTTGTTTTTTTTCATACTGCCATTTTAAAGTAACTTACTATTATAAATATGATTTTATGTATAGATATTTTTAGACAGGACCAATTTATACAAATTATACAGCTACCATTTAATAAGAAGACCCTACCCAGTAATTCTATATCAAAATAACATTTGAAGTAGTAGCAGATTACTTTAACTACAAAGGTAAAAGGTAAAGGTTTCCCTTGCTCAAAAGCTAGTTGAATCTGACTCTAGGGGGCAGTGCTCATCTCCATTTCCAAGCCGAAGAGCCAGCGCTGTCCAAAGACATTTCCATGGTCATGTGGCCAGCATGACTAAACACCAAGGCCCATGTAACGCTGTTACCGTCCCACTGAAGCGATACCTATTTATCTACTTGCAATTTCTTACTTTTGAACTGCTAGGTTGGCAGGACCTGGGGCCAGAGACGGGAGCTCACTCCATCACGTGGCACTCGGGTCTTGAACTGCCGAACTACAGACCTTCTGGTCTGCAGCTCAGCGTCTTAACCTCTGAGCCACTGTGGCCCCTTTAACTACAAAACACACTACTAAATCCTTAGACTCTGTTCCAATTCTGGTGAATGCCCAGAACGTCTGTGAACGTACTATTACAAAGTCTGCATGGTTTTATACTGATGAATGACATCAGTAGTTACTTTAAAATTGTTAATTGGATGAACTGGTCCCATAAGGATAAAGAGTAGTCCATTTCCGTTCATAATTTCCTAGCATATTCTACTGGGATAAATTCTTAGGTGGGCTCAGTGACCACTATGTATTCCTACATATATATTTAATCTGAAAGAAACAGATGTAATGTAGAAGTTCTCATATAATATAACCCAGGGCTACATAAAGACTAGCAGCCAGCATCCTCGAGGAAAATTAACCCTTTTCAGGGCATTAGGCATGGATTTACCTGGTATTTCTCTTTTAGAAAGTCAAATTCTAAAGTAAAAGCACCGCAGAAGAAATGCAGCAGCTATTTTGTGCTGACAAATGCATACTGGCTAGTGTGGTGCAGTGGTTGGTGTCATGGATTCGAACTGGCAAGATTTACATTTAAATCCCTGCTTTGCCATGGAGCTCACTAAGTAAACTTGGGCAAGTAGTTATATCTCAGCCTAGCCTACTTCACAGGGGTTTGCAAAGATAGAGTCAGGGGAAGGGGGCATGCAGGAAAAAAGATTTAGGATGCTTTGACCTCCCTAGATGAGATAGAAATGTATCTATAAAAACACAGCTTAGGGGGAATCAAGAGACAATTAAATTGAGTTAGACTATCCATGGCTGGCACCCTTTCTCATTCCTACACCAGTTTGGTGTAGTGGTTAAGTGTGTGGACTCTAATCTGGGAGAACCGGGCTTGATTCCCCACTCCTCCACTTGCACCTGCTGATGTGACCTTGTGTCAGTCACAAGCTCTGGCACAGCTGTTCCTGAAAGAGCAGTTTTTGTCAGAGCTCTTTCAGCCCCACCCACCTCACAGGGTGTCTGTTGTGGGGAGGGGAAGGGAAAGGAGTTTGTAAGCCGCTCTGAGACTCCAAAGTGAAGGGGAGGGTATAAATCCAATATCTTCTTCTTCTTCCTCCTGCTGTTTATCTTTATTTTGCCCTGTTCCACCCTGCCTATGAAGTAGCTGGCAGGCTGAAATCGAATTAATTAGTCCTTGCCATCTCTTTTCTTTGGATATGTGTTATTAATGTTTTAATGATTTCATCTGGTTGTGTTTTATGGATAGTATATCATCCAGAGCCTGACAAAAGCAGGGATTTGGTGATTAATAAATCCAATATATAAAATAAATAAATATTGCCTATTAAAGTTTAGTGATTAAACAATTTATAGCCTGCATACTCAGAGCTATATCCTACTGAGATGACTTACAGCAGTAAACTCACAACAAAATGATAAAATCTGAAAAATGCCACAAAGATTCAGCAGATAAATTAATTCCAAGCTAAGCATGAGCAGGAAAAGTAAATAAACAAGAAGCATGGGAAAATCAAAGTCCTTTTCTGATGCTTAAAGCTAGCCATGTTAGACTAGCTGTGAAGAGCTGTGGTAAGTTCCAGAGACAAAATGCCACCACTGAACAAGGCCTGTCATCTGACCTCTGAAACTGGGGGCACTGTAGCTTCTATTGATGCTCTTAACCAACATGATGGTACACACAGGAGCGTATGGTCCTTTCAGTGCCACGGTCCCAAACCACTTAGAGATTTAAAGATAATAACCAGCTCTTTATATTGTATTTGGAAACAAATAGGCAGGCAGTGGAGTGCCTTTAAAATTGAACAGGTATGTTCCCGATATTATGTCCCAGTCAGTTTTGCTCCTGCACTTTGTAGTAGTTGAAAGTTGTGAACAGTTTTTAACAGCAATCCCAAGTAGAGCATATTGCAACATTCAAATGTGGATGTCACCAAAGCATGAGTAACCATGGCCAAATCATGCTAGTCCAGGAAAGGCTGCAGCAGGACACTGAAAGTGGGATAAAGGAACTATGTGCTGAAAAAGGAGGCTTGAGCTTCTATCTCCAGACATGGTGATTACAACTTCACCAGAACAGGCTGAATCACTATTAACAACCAATAGCACCTCAGCTATGTCTGGATCAAGTTTGAATTTACTGCCCCCCCCCATTCAGCCTATTACTATCTCCAAACAATGGTTCAGAATATTTAATACTACACCTGAAGCACCTGAAAAAGAGAAAGTGTGTACTATCAGGAATATTGATAATATTGCACTCCAGTTCCATGGATGTCTTCTCCCAGCAATTTCATATAGACTTTAAACAGCACAGAGGACAAGATTGAACCCCTGTGGAACCTATGTTCAAAGTGCCATGGATCACAAAACTAAACTTATAAGAATATTCAGAAGAACATAATATACTCATCAATAACACTATCAGCTGGGATCCACCATGCATGAATGGAAGGGGTTTGTAGACATGGACCTTCCTTGGCCTCCCCTTCCCCAGCATGCCACAAAAAACCTGTGCAAAAGGCTGGAGGATTCTCCTCAACAAATAACCTGTGCATTACAACAGACTACAGTGATGGAAAATTACCCTTGCTCTATTGCTCCACTGGCTCAACAGCAGTGGAGAGGGGGCAAATTTGTATTTTTTTCAAGAGGGTCCCCTTAGCAGAAACTTTTCAGAGAATGCAAAGCTAGGGAAATTTTGTTTGAGCAAACTTGTTCCGCTTGTGTGTGGTAAGACTCCATCTTATACATAGTTAATTTGAGAGCATGCTTCAATAATTTCATTAAACATAATCTTGCCTTCTATTATATGGAAAGGCACTAATCTGATAGTGTTAATACATATGCTTTTAATATTAATAGTCACTGGCTATATGAAACAGCCATAATTCATTTTATAATTGTTACTCACACAACTTTCCTTGAATAAATGTTCACACACTTTACCTGTTTGCTTATTTCAGTGATGTTTACCCATATTTTGTTTAATCCCTTATCCCCAGTTTCAATCTTCTCCAGTTGCTTTTGTTTACTGAGCAGATCTTCAGATAATCTAGGGATTTCTTGGATTGATGGTTTTTGATTAGATTCCACTAGAATACAAAGGCAATAGTTAGTCACCAACGCTAACATCTGGAAAAACATACAATGTCTGTTTCTTGTGGGTGTTATGTACACTGTTTTCATAGCTGAAGTTCAGTCTTACATTTGATTGTTGAAACATCACACTGAAGTAACTGCCACTCCCACATGTACATAACTGCCAACTAAAATCTTCAACACAGGCCATACACTGTGTGCTGACACCTATAGGGCTGCCTTTCTGATGTCCACTGTAACGCTTGCTCACTGCTTTTCTCCAAGCACATATATTTGATAACTCCAGACCAAAAAAAAATTGCTCGTTTAGGCTTTGATTGAGTTGAGGGTTCTTTTATTTTAAACTGAGTCTTGCTTGTCACTGGCTTTATTATTCTTAACTGTTTTGAATGCTTGGAATGTTTAAAAGTTTATTATTATTCTTACTGAAGTTTATCAGCTGCTTCAAACTTTTGACCCAAGTCTTTAGCTTGGAGAAATGACGGCTGAAGGGTAACATGATCAAGATTTATATGATTATGCGTAGGATAGAGCAGGTTGAGAAAGAAGTACTTTTCTGCCTTTCTCACAATACAAGAACTCATGGGCACTCAATGAAATTGCTGAGCAGTTGGGTTAGAACAGATAAAAGGAAGTACTTCAACCAAAGAGTGATTAACACATGGAATTCACTGCCACAGGAGGTGGTGGCGGCTACAAGCATGGACGGCTTCAAGAGGGAATTAGATAAACATATGGAGCAGAGGTCCATCAGTGGCTATTAGCCACAAGGTATAGATAGGAACTGTCAGGCTGGGGCGAGTGATGCTCTGTATTCTTGGTGTTTTGAGGGGGGGGGCAACAGTGGGAGAATTTTTAGTGTCCTGGCCCCACTGCTGGACCTCCTGATGGCACCTAGTATTTTTGGCCACTGTGTGACAGAGTGTTAGATTGGATGGGCCATTGGCCTGATACAATATTGGCTTCTCTTATGTTCTTACGTAATATCTCCCCCCCAAAAAAACTCATCATGTGTTGTATCCTATAATTCTGTTCTGCTAAATGTGTCATACTGCGCTAGTTGAAGAGGCTGTCATTAGTGGAAGAGAATAATAAGCTCCTAAATTTAGGCGAAGGTGTCAGACAAAGATGTATTTTATCTCCCTATCTGTTCAATTTATATGCAGAACAAATCACAAGGAAAAATGAATTAGATTTAAATGAAATTGGAGTGAAAATGGGTGGAAAAAATATTAACAATTTGAGATATGCGCATGATACTTCATTACTGGCAGAAAATAGTGAAGACTTGAAATGGCTACTGGTGAAGGTTAAAGCAGAAATTGCCCAAGCAGGATTACAGTTGAACATCAAGAAGACAGAAGTAATGACTACTGAGAAATTACACAACTTTATGATGAAGAAATAAGATTTTCTATTCCTTGGCTTCATCATCAAGCACAAGGGAGACTGGGACTTCCGGTTTAAGCGTTTCGCCGCTCAGGTGCATCCCGTCTCGCTCTGATGGGGACGCGCCATGACCCTGCTGACGGGAGAGGTCAGAGTTCGTCCCAGACCTCCCCGGGGTCTCTGTAGGAGACCCTCAGCCTGGGGAGCTGAGGAGAGCCTCTTCCAAGAGCACAGCCAAGGAATTGAGGCTCACCTTATCCCCAAAAGGTACTGTCGCCACGGAGCCAAGATGGCGCTTAGAGACGACTGCCGGACCAAGCGACCATGATCAAAACTTTAAAACGCTTCCAAAAGATCTCCAGGTCTCCAAACTGTGAGTTAAGCAATGCTCAGGTGAAAAAGTGAACGGAACTTGGTAGTAATTGGAAGCACCTAAGTTTGAAGTGGGAAGGGAGAGGGACTCAAGCACCTCCCCCCCTTTTTGAAAAAGATTTAAAAACTGTTTTAAATCGGAAATAAAAAGACCTAGAGCCAAAATAAGCGCATAAGAAGTTAAGCGAATGCAAAAACTGTCAATATATACAAAGCGGATTTAAGTCATATAACTTTTGTCTTGTTTTGGGAAACTTACTTCTTGTTGATATTATGGCTGGGAGAGGACGGAGGGCGCCAGGGAAAAAACTGGTGACCGGAAATAACATACCAATGACCCTCTCAGAACCAGGAAGTAACTACAGACTTTTCTTCACTGTTAGCAAATGCACTGCGCCCCCTAATGGAACAGATGACTAACGCCAAACTGGACAGTGTTCAAAAACAACTGTATCAAATGGATAAAAGAACCTCAGTAACCGAGAAAACGCTGAAAAAAATGGAAAAACAGACTGAGAGTATCAACAAAAGAATAGATGAAGCAGAGAAGGAAAGATCCTCCGATAAAATGCAATTAATACAGCTCCAGCTGGAAAGATCTATGTATGTTCTACGATTCCATGAGATTCCTGAAGAGAAGAACGACGATTTAAAAGAACTTTTGGCGGAGGCTTTGGCCCCAGTAATGGATTACAAGCAAGAAGACTTATTGAAAGAGATGGATGTGGCCTACAGGACTTACCCGGATTTTATAAAGAAAAACAAACTTCCAGGGGAAACCTATTTAGAATTCACGAAACGATCGACCAGAGAACTGGTATTAAAATCTACAATGGGGAAGCCCTTAAAAATTAAGAATGAAGAGATAAAAATACTAAAAGACATCCCCTTTGAAGTCAGAAAACAGAGGAAACTATACAGGATGCTTACACTTACTCTGCAAAAAAAGGGAATACCATATAGATGGTTATTCCCGGAAGGACTGAGCTTTAATTATTTGGATAAAAATACAAAATTGACTCTGTTCCAAAAGTGGAAAGATTTATGGATCAAATGTTCAACTCAAAATATAAGAAGAAAGAAAAGAATTCAAAACCAGATCAAGAGGAAGAAGAAGAATCCTACTCACAGGATTCAAAAAGCACTACTTCCACATCACCAGAATCATCGGAGAAAGGACCAGCCGCCCCCAAACTCAAGAAAACAAAGAAGCGCAGGAAGAAAAGACTCTAGAACAAGAACAATAGTTTTTAAAGGCAGAATTTGTGCTAAGCATGTGAAGCAAGATTGCAATGAACCAACTTGTATACCAAATTTGTAACAATAGGTTAATAAGCCTTACCTTAGCTAACTAGATCGTGACATGTATTAGCTCTCCCTTCCCCAAATCCAATAGATGAAATAGTTCAGTAGTTTCCTCCCCCATCAAGTAGTTTTTATGTATTAGTTTGTCCTTTTCCCATTTCCCATAGTTAGAGTGTTAGGGTTCTAGTATCCCTCCCCTTTCCAATTTTTGGTTGTAGTTTTTTGTAGTTTATAGAAAATGCAAATTAAAAATCCCCTTCAGTGGGAAAAAAAAGCACAAGGGAGACTGCAACAAAGAAATCAGAAAGAAATTGAGAGTGGGAAGGGCAGGCATGTAGGAGCTAGAAAAGATGTCACTGGCGACCAAGTTCAAGATAATTCATAACATAGTATTCCCCACTACTATGTATAGGTGTGATAGTTGGACAGTGAAGAAAGCTGAGAGGAAGAAAGTAAACTCCTTTGAAATGTGGTATTGGAGAAGAGTTTTACAGATACCATGGACCGCCAAAAAGCCAAATAAGTGAGTTCTAGATTAAATCAAGCCTGAACTCTCCCTAGAAGCTAAAATGACTAAACTGAAGCTACTGTACTTTGGTCACATTATGAGAAGACGAGTCACTGGAAATGACAATAGTCCTCGGAAAAGTTGAAGTCAGCAGGGAAATGAGGGAGACCCAACATGAGATGGATTGACTCAGTCAAGGAATCCACAACCCTCAGTTTGCAAGACCTGAACAAAGCTGTTAACAATAGGGCATTGTGAAGGTCATTAATTCATAGGGTTGCCATAAGTCAGAAGCGAAATGACGGCACTTAACACACACAAACATAGGCAGCTGGAGCCAAGTGTTAGATGGGTAAAGTGACACATGGCAATGTAGAACATACTATAAAATATTCTGCAGAGAGCACCTTCCTGTGTTCCAGTTCTTGGAACAGATTATATTAGGTATCTTATTCCTTTTAAGGAATACTCTGAAAGACAGCATAAACATCAGGATTACTTTAATGAACTGACCATAATATGCTAATATTAGCACTGAGGTGATAGCAGTCTGAGGAATTTCACCTTTGTTCAATCACTGTTATGCCATGTCATATATTCACTGATACAAAATTACGAAGTCAGCTCTACATGAAATGTACATTGTTCTATCTCATACATAAGGAAACACTAGTATGACTAAGCATATGGCAGCTCCTGTGGATATACCAGAACACTCATACTACCTGCTTTCTCAAAATAACTTGCTTCTAAAATTGTTAATCATACTTCAGAAAATACTGCAGAAGCCAGCTATTGACTAAAATCCATTGTGGGGTCTTAAAAAATGCCTAGGTCTCAGTTTAACTCAGTGATATAAGAGTGGGGGGAAATCCAAGCATGTTATGTATAATAGGTTTACATTCTGAGTTTTAAAGTGCTACACACTGTACATTCTTCTCCTAGAGCAGCAGCACCATTTAACTTATATCCACCTACTTACAACTGTTTACTTTAGAATAGCGCCCTCCAGACTTAGTCTAGATAGGTTTATATAATATATAGTCAAAATGTGTACTATTAAAATCTTCAAGAAATAAATGCACTTTTAAATCTAGGTCTCATTTCTTTTGCTTTAGAAAAATCAATTTCCAGTATGGACAAAAGTATTCTCTGAATGTAGGTATGGTCCAGACTATGCAAAATCTATATCCTTCACTTTCATCATGACAACTAGTATGCATTAAAGAAACCTATGTACAGAATGGTGGTTTAATGATTAGGTCACCTATCAGCAATGATGGTTCACTGTAAAGTTTCATAATGGAAAATAAAACATTTCAACCAGTTAAGCAGTACATCCTCTGTTACTCAGTACTAGTTTCACAATATTGTTTGGAAGTCTAACTAATACTATCAGGACCATGTAAAGCAAAAATTATGTAACATATATGAATTGTCAAAAAAGCAACCATAACTGCAGTGATCAACAGTATCTATACACAACGTGCTACAAAGGAATTTTCGGAAGTGTGGTTCTGAAATTGATGTCTACGACAACCTCAGTTTGATTTGTGAGGAGTGGAAGTTTTTGCAATGCTTTGTTTTTCCATGGATGACACTACCAATATAATATTAGGTAAGCCTAGCAGTTTCCAAGTTACAATTAATGTTCTCACATGATTATTCCTAGGAATTGTGCCCATGTTTTATTGATTTGTAAACATTGGGTGGGGAGGAATATAATCATACATATATAGAGAAATACAACCTTTAAAAAACAGGTTATGGATTCACTTGACTGGCTATGCAGGTCTAATTACAATCAAAGCTAAAATTCTTATTTATATGTCTTCTCACAGGGCAAAAAAGGATGTAATTATCAACACAATATGTATGAATTAACATATAACATCACAGGACACCAGTGACCTCTTTGGAATGGAATTAAGTTCTATTGAAACAGATGAGTGTATGGCCATATCAGTATATAACCATACCAGATGAGTGTATGACCATATCAGTGACACGTAATGTAGTGTTGAGTGTGGTAAAATTAGTATGTCAGTTTTTAGTGCCTTTGGTTTTTTCTTAAATTTGAACTATATAAGGGAAGTATATGTTATACAGTCTTTAAATGGTGGAGTACTAATCCATCAGTATAAAGTTTTGAATTTGTTTGAATATTTCAAGCACACATTTTTTTTCCTAAGCGAATGTTCCAGTTCAAGTATTTATTGTGATGGGGACATAAAATCAATATGTACTTTTAAATTTTTGTTGGTGAGTAAAAGTAAAAATAAACATGCCAAATCAGATTGCCATCTATTTAGGGCATCAGTAAATTTTCCAGTTAATTCCACCCCAGTACCTCACATTACTGGGCTGGATCCATCAATTCCCTCTTTAGGAGCAGGATTTTGTGGAGATCAGTGGACTGCAGTGGGAGAGGGGAGGCAGGAAAGTTCCATTCTACCATGAGAAAAATTATTCTGGATCCAACCCACTATTTAGTACTTTCCTTCTTCTAGTCATACAGCAGAGAAAGTGTTTTAGGGGATGAATGTTCCTAAGATTTTTCCTCCACTTTATGACATTGGTCTTCACTGGACATTCTACTGGAGATTCTGTATGACATAAGCATCCAACCAACTGCTATGGATCTTTGTTTCTTAAATGTGAAAAAGAACTGAAAAGTGTTCCATTGATTATATGCATGAATCAGTCCAACATAGCAGACCACATTATGGAGACCAGGTACAAATTTTCAGAAGGCTTCAGAAACCAGACTTAATGTTTAGACAAATCAAAAGCTTGAGATCAGAAGAAAAATCCCATTGCTCTTACAATATTTCCTAAATAAAAGCATATGGAATCAGATTCACACAGGCAAATGGAACATCTGCCTTCAGAATACACAAGTGCTTTTTTCTTTACAACCATGTGCTTCCAGGTATTTGCAGCTTAAAACATATGTGAATTAACAGTTTGGATGGGTAATAAGGGATAGAAAGTATGTGTTTTCCTTACTGAAAGACTATACAAATAACTTTCCTTTTAAAAGGCTGCCAACTTCAGACAGTGAATCCTTGATCTTGCTAGCTTATACTAGCTAGAAACAAATATGCCAACTTTCTTCTAGAATATAAAGAAGGCAGACATTTGAAATTAGTACTTACTGGTTCGAAACCTTTCCTTTAAAGCATCCAAATCTTCCTTGAGAGCAATCTGCATCCATACCAAACCAACACAAGCTACCACACAAGCAGCCAGAATAACAAAAGCACATAATGGGTAGCAAAACTTGCAGCATCGCAGGTAGTCACTCCTAAATTAAAATAAATAAATAAATCTTCATTTGCTCAGCTTCATACTTGTATTGCACAAAACTGGCACAACTAGATTCAATATATTGAACATAATATAGTATGTTGTTACTGTAATGAGTGAATGAACAACAGCCAAACAAATTAAGGGCATTCTTCTGGAAACTCTGTTGTATTAAGCATTAGTGTTAACAAACTCTTGGCCACTTGGCTCCAAAAAACGAGAAACAATATTCACATATAACATCTGGATGTGCAGGAATATTTTAATATACAAAACGTTCCCTGATGTGTCTTTAAGTTAATTTTTTTAAAACCCCATTAAATCATATTATGTTTAAGCATGATCAGAGTGTTATAACCAGAATGAAAAAAAATCTGTTACCTGCTTCACTCTTCCTAATGTTCCAATAATTTAGAAAACAGATTTTTCAGAATAGTAACAATGTCCTCATTACAAAACCAATCTTTTATACGGATTTACATCAGTGAACAATAACATAAGCAGAGTCTCTCTCTTTTCTTATTCCATGTAATACTAACCAGTAATTTCTTCCAGGGCTTTACGCATTCCATCTAAAAGACATTTAACTTTTGAAAGCCAACTTAAATACAACATATATATTCTAGTCATCCAAAGCCTTTTATTGGCATATAAATAAAAATACAGTAATCTGAATACACACAGAGTCAAATTAAAATTGCCGAGTAACATCACAGAGTATCACCATACAGAAAAACCTAATTCATCATATCATTTATCAGGCCGTAGGGCCATGGCACTACAGAGAAACTTTGCTGTTATTTCAGTTATTTCTGTGTCTGTGTCATCGAGCAAGAAAAGAAGCTTAAAATCATCAGGGGACTCTACGGCCATACCACCCTGAACACGCCCGATCTCGTCTGATCTCGGAAGCTAAGCAGGGTCGGGCCTGGTTAGTACTTGGATGGGAGACCGCCTGGGAATACCGGGTGCTGTAGGCATATATATTCATATGTTATTCATATGAATAAATAACAGAGTGTCATCAGCCATACTGCCCAACATTGTGTTTCAAATACTGACTCCAAAGAAGAAAGTGCTAGCAGTACTATTTTGATACCCCGTTGATTCACAGCTAACCAGTTTAGCGTGCCAGAAGTACAAGATTAAATTTCAAGGCAATTTGTTGTATCCTGTCCTATGGTATGAACATATAATTACAATGACATCCACATGTTATTTTCTAAATTGCATGCTATGTTAAACTACTTCCTTATTGTGAGCAACAATATTAGCAGCCTTTTGGAAATAAGATTCCTGAAGACAGAGTTTGTGTATTTATTTCATATTTTACAAAATTTGCACCCCACCTTTTTGCCATCACAAGAGCCATCAAGGTGGCTAGCAAATTAAAACATACATAATAAAATCACGTTTTATAGCCATTAAAACCAACCACCTCCATATTATTAAAACCAGAGCTAAAATACTTACAAAAACAATAATTAACACATTGGGAAGAAGGGATCACTAAGGGGACACCAAATGAAACAGCAAAGTTTTCACTGCTTGCAGAAGATGACAACGGAAGGGTACAGATGAATCTCCTTCGGGAGACAGTTTCAGAATTTTGGTGCCACTACCAAGAAGGCACTCTCCTGAGTTGGCACCCACCTAATCTCAGAAAGCAGGGGCACCCTAAGCAGGGCCTCTGAACATGACCATAGTGGTCAAGTATCTTCATAAGGGAGTAGGCAATCCATCAGGTATGTTGTTCCCAAACTAGATAGGGTTTTAAAGGACGGCACCAGAACTCTGAACTGTGCCAAGAAATAAACTGGGGGTTAATGTAGATGGGTCAAGACTGGTGTGGTGTGGTTCCTACACCTCACTTCATTCAACATCTTGGCTGCAACATTCTACACCTATTGAAGTTTCTGAATACTTGTCAAGGGCAGTCTTATGCACAGCACATTGTTGTTGTTCAGTCGCACAGTCGAGTCCGACTCTTCGCGACCCCATGGACCAGCTCCCGCCAGGCCCTCCTGTCTTCCACTGTCCTCTGAAGTTGGCTCAATTTCATGTTCGTTGCGTCGCTGACACTGTCCAACCATCTCATCCTTTGCCGTCCCCGTCTTCTTTGACCTTCAATCTTTCCCAGCACATTACAATAATCTAATTTAGATGTAATTAGGGCATACACCAATGGCCAGATCTTTTCCGTCCACAGCTGCCACCTGCTTATCCAGCAGTAGGCCTGAATCCAAGAGCACCCCAGACTATGGACCTGTTACTTCAAGGAAAGCATGACCTCACTGAGAACAGGTGACACCTTAAATCCCGGGTCAGACTTTTCACTCACTAGTAGCACTTCCATTTTATGGGGATTAAGCTTCAGTTTAACAGCCTGCATCATCTCCAAAACTACCTCCAGTTATCAGTTCAGGGTTATAGTTGTTGTTAGTTCACCCTGTGTTAAACTGGAAGCACCAGATAAAGCTGTTATCCACATATTGGTGACCACCCAGACCACATGACCTCACCCAGCCTTTTCATGCAGATGTTAACCAGCACACTGGACAATCCCCAGAACCTCCACTCTCATATGTAACAGATTCCCAAACCATTCTTCGTCATAGTACTTTACTGCAGCCTCAACCAACTCAAACTACTGTACCCCACTATAAACCCTCATCTTGTTCTGATCCCCATTTTCTCGTCGATCCCCAGATCACATCCACACCTTCATGCCTTCGCCGCTTTAGCCAAACCTCTCACCACAAACCGCCGCCACAAAAAGGAACTAGGAATCCTGGAGCCTTCGTGTCTCAGCCGCCTCTGCTCTCTCTGCCTCCCGCCAGCCTCCCAGGGACACTTGCCTGTTCACGCCGCTACTTCCCACCTACCCCTTCCCGGGTCTCACTTTGCGAAGCGTGAGCGAGTGCCTGGTAGCCCGAAGCCATCGCCGTAATCTGGGTCCGAAGAGCTGCTGCTACTGCTCTCGGCGGACTCGGTGCGCAGGAGCCGGTGGCCCGAGCCAGAACCTTTCCTCGGGTGTTTCTTCTTGCGGCCACCGCCGCCGCTCCCGCTGCCCCGCTCGCCGCTCCCGCTGCCCAGCCCGATGAGGGCGTTCAGCTCCTTACGCTTCTTCATTCTCTTGGGCTGCGCTGGGCTCGGGGTAGCCGAGCTCCGCACCCCGGGAGAAGCTCCCAACACCGGAGCCCGGCTCGCCAGCTTTGGCGCCTGTCTGCCCTGCAGTCTCAAAGCGGTCGGCGCGGCGTCCTCAGACGCCGGGGGTGGCGCCGTTCTTGCACCTTACCGGCCACTGGACCTGCCAGAGCCATGGCAGCTGAGGAAACCGAGCTTCAGCACGCGCCCGCCCACCTGTCAGCACAGACCGACCTTATTGGCTGAAAATATTAAGGAAGCCGGGCGATATTTTTCTTCCTCTTCAGAGTTCGCCTACCAGTGTCAGCTGCATTCATTGGACAAGGGGACTTCCGCTTTACTTCCAGCAACCGGTATTGGCGTTTCCTCATTGGACATAGAACAATAATTAAATCGTTTCCGGCTTAGGTGGATTGGTCAAGGGTCAAATACTTTGAACCATAGAAATTGAAAAAGGCCACAGAAACCTGCAGCCTGAACTTCCGCTTAGGCTAGGATTCTTTATCGGGTCGCTCTATCCTTCGGCGCCTCTATTGTGAAAACTCTATATCTTATTGGATATCATAGCAGAAAACCGATTTATTTAGAATGGAAAGGGCCGAGAGAGCTCTAGCCTTTATTTCTGTTTCAGTAACGCATAATTTGCTACAAACAAGGCTAGCGGCAAATGTGTAAACCTTGAGTGGAATTAAATCATCTTAAATAATGTAACCTCATGTAATGTTTGTCTAACGTCAAGAATGCTTCTTATTTTATGGGACCCAGCATGACCACAATTATAACGACAGTCTGGTTTACTGTAGTGCATGAAAGCCCTAAATGCTGTAATAAAAATAGTAATGCTTAGCCACTTGTATTTAGTATTACTATCAAAAATTGTTGATATTACTGTATGACAATGTATGGGTCTATAAATCAGGATTATCACTTGCACTTTGTCCTTTTAAGCAATCCAACATGTGCAAGTTTTCATGGTCCTGTTTTGCATATTTATTAGAGAACAACTCTGAGTAAAATGCAAGAACGAAAAACATTTAATATCTTTTATTAGAACTAATCTAAAATGACACAAAACAGTGTGCAAGCATTTGAGTTCTCCAGAACTCTTCATTAGACTGATTTTTATTTTTGGCAGCTCAGTTTAAACTCAGTCGTATAGTTTCAAACCCCAACCAGATAGTGGACGGCCATACAGTATAATCCCCCCCCCCCAACTTTCCTGATAGTGAATCACATTGAATAGACCTGAATAGGATTCTGAATAGTACCTTTAAACCCACTGATCTGAAGCGAATTAACAGTGCAATCCTGAGAATGTTTACTCAGAACTTCCACTGAACCCAGTGGTTTTTATCAACTGTAGTAATTATTAAATGGCAAAAATTTATCATTTGACAAGCCTTAGCCCACCATGTCAATAGAACTTATTTATTGTTAGAATAATCTGATACAAGGCTACTGTTGATGTACCACTCAGGAGTGCAAACCGCACAGGAGAATACCTATCGTCTGTCTACCCGACATACGATTAAAGACACCTGAGCGCTACAAGAAAACTAAATTGGTAATTCTACATATATCAAAACGACAAAGATAATAAAGCAATTGCGGTACGCGCGTGTGTAGGTGAGCTTCAAGGTTTTTTAAAAAAAAAGATTAGGAAACGAGTATCCTTCCTCCACGCGCATTCCCCTGGCCACTGATGTTGCCAGAAACGTCCACTGATTCTGCCTTTTCCTCCTACAAGTAAAAGCTCTGGCGCGTCCCTTTCGCGAGCACTTTGCCCGAGGGAGGTGCGCCGACGCCTATACGCTGCAGAAGGCAGTCTGCACTGAAGCTCGCTTCTTGCCGTGTCATGGATCTCTCCCGGATTTTGCACCTGGTTGTTGTCTTTTGCCTGACTTGGATGCTGATCAAAATCATCCAGCTATACCGGCAAAGAAAGGAGCTTCAGAAAACGATGAGTAGTTTTCCAGGTCCCCCCGCACATTGGCTTTACGGCCATATTCGTGAGGTAGGTACCGCCTTGGTGTTTTGCAACGGGGACAGAAACATCCCCCTAGTGGTGGCGGACTGCCTATTTCAAGGCTCGGTAAATTAGTGGATAATTTCCCTTTACCTGCGTATAATCAATCCTTTAAACACTACAAAACCCAAATGGGATAGTTTGACCAATTTAGCAATGCATTGGACCACCAACTGATTTTCGAAGTACTGGGAACCAGAATTTCACCTCCATAAACCCATTATGGCTTAAATCTGTAGATACATGATCAGGCCACACTGCTATGCTGCTCCAGTCTTCATATTGGCATAACAAAGGCAGAATAAATTGGAACAAAAACAGTATTAATTTGAGGTTACAAATACTTAGCTGTTGCTGAGGGAAGTTAAGTTATGCAGACATTTGACGACTAAAAAATACAGGACGAAATCAAGCAGTCTTCTCCCAGAGAGCATATATGCTATACCTGACTGAAATGATACATATTTAAATTCTGTTTTCAGTACTATTCTCTTTCCCTGTTGTAATTTGTTGTTACATATAAATTAGGAGTGGGGAATGCTTGCTTCTTTTAGAGAGGCTGGGTATGGCCCTATGCATAGTTATGTATTTATTTGGGAAATTTATAGGCCACCTCATCAGAGACCTGCTCAAGATGGCTAGCAAAAACAAATTAAATATTTCATCCAATTTAAATCAATAGGATTATTTTTCACATGAAATGAATGACTCAGTTGCACCAAAAATACATTTTTTGTTTTTTCTTGAGGTCATATATGTTGCGAATTACATCTTTGATTGGGTCATTACTAAAGAGATCTGAAATTTTATAGGGAGACTGGGAGAAAATGACTAAATATATTTCTTTATGTAAAGTATCTTCACAATACTTTTGTACCATGAGTTACACACCCACTGGACAAAATACGATCTTCCTTGTGCCATTGGAAAACAAGCCATAGTGAAGTTGGCATCTACCACATCCTATGGCAGCGAGTTCCACAATTTAACTAAGTGCTGTGTGAATAACTACTTGAATCTCCCACCCTTAAGCTGCAGTGGATAGCGAAGTTTATCTTGATCAGGGCAAGAAAGTATGTTACTGACTGCATTCGTCACCTCTACTCACTCTTGTACTATTGCAGCTTTTACCCATGTCTAGCATTTTGAAGAAAGTGGAATCCTGGAGCCATGTTTATCCATTTGCCTTTCCTTTGTGGTTTGGAAGCTTCTCTGCATGTTTAACAATCACACATCCTGATTATGCTAAAACATTACTTGCTAAAGCAGGTAAGGATAATATACTTGTCTGAATAGTCGGTGGGTTAGAAATGTGTTTGCAATCATATCCTCATGATTATGGTACAGTTACAAACTACAAACAGCAAGAATAATTTCTAGTTATTGTCAGAAAAGGCAATGTCTGCTGTACAAAGAAGACCCTGAAGGGGGCAGCAAGAAGACAATTAGATAGGGCAAGAGGGGACCCGCAACGAAATGTTGCTGGAGCCCGAACCCTCTCCAGCATGGTTGATGCAGGTGGGGGAAGCTGGTGGCTGGCTTTGGTCACTTCTCTCATGTGCCACTGCTCCTGCTTCCTCCTCTCCCTCACCTAACAAAGTTGTGGCTTAAAACAAAAAGGGGAAAAAAGCATGTAAGGCAAAAAGCTGGCGGGGCAGCCCACCGAGCGGCCGCTTGCATGCCCAGTGAGCTCAGCCACTCCTCCAGTGCTGTTGCCCCTTTGAATAGAAGCCCGTGGCGGCCACTGATGGGGCGCAGGATTCTAGCTGTGTGTGGGGGGGAGAACGGTGGCTCTTTAATCTTTAATCAGGTTGTGTATTGCTCCAAGTGTGCAGAAAAACCTTTTTACCCTCCATGTGCCCCAAATCTGCAGAAATAAGTATCCACATGCACAGGGGACCCCTGGCTATTAGATATATACATAGTGAGGACAGCACCTTCTCTCTTCTGTTAAGTGTCATTCTTTGTCTCCAGATTGCTACTCTTAAGGAAATTTCCCCCTTCTTCTTGGAAGTGCTACACTCAGTCCACTCTCTCTCTGAGCTAGAGATGTAGTTAGGAACCTATCTCTGTCTCTCTTCTTTCCTATCATAAACCTATATCTACTCTTTAATCAGGTTGTGTATTGTTGCTGTATTAACTACTTTGCCAACAGTTTTATGCACCTCAATCACAGAAGAATATCACCGGTTTTTGTGATGCCTTGTGTATATAGTTAGAGCATATTGTGTATGACCAGGGATTGCAGCCCTGTTTGAGAAGCTGCTGTCATGATGCTCTGTAGTAAAATGTTCTAGGAGCATTACTTTCTTGATGAATCTTAGCGCCTTGGATTATTCCAATGCAGGTTTTGCTTAAATTAGTAGTTTCCTTTGAGCAGGAACTTTTTAGGATTCTTTATTATTACACAGGCATAATGGGAGCCAGTTCTATAGAGCTCTTTCTTACATTGCCATGGTCACCTGAGAAGCTTTGGGGCCAAGTGGGAGAAGCTTCCCCATACCAGTGTTGCTGTAGTTCCAAGAAGGGGAGGACATTGGTCTGAGGAGAGACTGCACCATATCTTGCTTCCATATGGTCTAGAGATTCTCAGGTTACCTCAGTTGTGTGAGAAGGAACCAATATGCAGCACCACTAACATAATGAAAGTTGTGGGGAGGATTGAGATATTTTTATAAGTAACCTCTACAGTGTGTGAAGTGTAAAATTCTACTGAGTAAGATTGACAGGAAATGAAGTATGATCTTTCCCCCAAAATGAGGGTGGGGTGGGGAATGGAAAAGAAATATAAGGAGGATTGGGAAATTAGTAAGGTACTGACTGCTACTGCTTCAGCCGGCTTCTAGCTCAATATAGAGAAAGCAGGGATATCCATAGTGGCCCCCATGAATCTCCCCAAAAGGGGACAGGGATAGGCTAGAAGGATTGGCTATGTTAATGTAGACAGCCTATTAAAAGTGATTCTTTGGCAGCCATTCAAGCCCATTGTGCATTATTTGGGGATTTAAGTCCTTACAACACCTGACTATATATGACAATATAATAAATGACAAGATTTAGCTACTTCACATCCATTTGGAATTTCACATGTGCAAGTCTGGTTTTTATGTTGCAATAGCCTGTGTAGTTCCTTCATATATAATTCTCACCATCTATTAATCAAGTCAACATTGCTTCACTACTTTAAGTAAATATACCACTCATAGCTTTATCATCTGTTCTTTACATACTTTTGAGTACTATGAGTTAATACTGAAGATTTTTTCCGCTTTTTCCTGCTCACTTGTCTTTTACAGAGCCAAAGGATGCTTTTGCGTATCGGAGTATAATTCCATGGATTGGTATGTATATTCAAGGTTTTCTTGCTAAGAACAGGACATAAATCAGTCACATAGATTTTTCTAGTTCTCTGGATTACAGATTTCTGCATCATAGTGGCCTAGAAACTCAGAAGAGTACAGCTATCCTCTAGGATGGCAAACTTGATGCAGGTGCTAGTTCAGATAGTATTTATTATGCATAAATGACAATCTACTAGTATTTTGGTTTATTTATTTATCACATTTATATCCTGCCCTCCCAGCCAAGGCCAGCTCAGGGCAGCTTACAGGAAATAAGACATATAAATTACAGTTAAAACATCTTAAAACCAACTAAAAGCATCTGACATAGTAAAGTGCTAGTAGTCATATATTCTATTACTTAACTATGGCAGCTGTTGTTCAGTGCTCCCTTCTCATAGTCAGCTCGTAGGTCTTTCCTTTAGGCAGCTGGCACAGGCTGCTATTGTTGGTAACTAGGGGGGCAGGGCTCTGACCTTCAACTCCTTGATTGAAGGCCTGGTGGAAGAGCTCCGTTTTACAGGTGAAACTTCATTGATGGGTTAGCCCTTGCTGTTTCAGGTGATTTGACAAAATATGGAATTGTAAAGTCTACTATTGACTATACAAAATTAGGCTGTTGTTTTCATGGTTCTTTTCAGTTGAATGTTGAGATACTGGAATGAAATTTGGGACACATGCTTAGGGCAAAATTCTGAGTTTTGTTTTAGAATTCCAGTTAGACCCTCATACCACTTTTCAAAGGGGAAGGAAGATGAAAAATTTAACAAAATACAATACATCTATTGAGCAGTAAGATATCAGAATAAAAAGTGGAAATTTTTATTCTGGTCTTATAGGGAACTGATATGTGAAAAAACATTGAGAAAGAGCTAAATTTGGTTTTAGAAATGTTAATTCCAAAGAATGTTGGAAAATTCATAGGACTTGGAAATACATGACTGAATGATATCTGAATGTTATCTTTCTTGTCCAGCCTTTTTTCACTGAGGCATGGTCCAGAGAACCAGTTTGGTGTAGTGGTTAAGTGCGCGGACTCTAATCTGGGAGAACTGGGTTTGATTCCCAGGGGTGGAAAATGGTCAGTAAAATCAGTAAGTTATTTCATTCTGTTCAGTAATTTGTCAGTTTTTTAAAAAAATTGTCAGTAAAGTCAGTATTTCTTTGATTTTTGTGAATGCAGTTTGTGTTCTTCCATTTTCATTACTGCATTTTTGGGGAAACATGATGACTTCCCAGTGAGAAGACAGATTGTTTTCAGTCTAGTTATGAAGTACTTTAAGGACTTTGTTCCTAAGAGAAAAGTGATTTGGTGAAATTTTCCCCAGGGTATAGAAACATGAGGTATAGAAACATGAGACAATGAAAGTAGAGGTGATGGGTATTATGGGATTCAACATGGCATGCTAGAAGGAGTTGAGAAAGCAATGGAAGAAGAGGACAAGGGGGAAATGCGTGTGGATGCAATGCAGAAAACTGTTGAGAAACGAAAGAGTTAGTGAATAACTATTTATTTATTTATTCAATTTATACCCTGCCCTCCCTGCCGGAGCGGGCTCAGGGCGGCTTACAAAGAGATTAAGCACATAGGTAACAAATTATATACAATCTTAAAACAAATAAAACATTACATTATCATAAAGTGCTAGTAAGTGATCAGGTACTTATAACAATGCTTACAGAAGGCAGAACCAATACTAGTGTTGTAATCAGATGATCTATATTGGTGGTTGGCTCGTCTTGGTCTCTGTATTTAGGCAACAGCACAGCCTATTGGTGGTAAGCCAAGGACTAGGTCACTTTCACTTCTCAGTTATTTGATGTTATTTGGTGCGGCTCCTTAATCAAAGGCCTGGTGGAAGAGCTCCATCTTGCAGGCTCTGCAGAACTGTAAAAGGTCACGAGGGCCCTGATTTCTTCTGGGAGCTCATTCCACCAGTACGGAGCCACCACTGAGAAGGCCCTGGCCCTGGTTGTGGCCAGCCTGGCATCTTTAGGACCTGGGAGGCCAATCGATTTTGTGACCCTGAGCGCAGTGCTCTCTGGGGAACGTGTGGGGAAAGGCACTCCCTCAGGTATGGGGACCCTTGACCACAAAGGGCTTTAAAGGTAAGTACCATCACCTTGAAGCGAATTCAGTATGCTATCGGCAGCCAGTGCAGTGCTTTCAGCACATGCTGGATGTGCTCCCACATAGGGAGGCCCATCAGAAGCCTGGTTGCAGCATTTTGCACTAGCTGTAGCTTCTGGATTTGGGTCAAGGGCAGCCCCATATAGACAGCATTACAGTAGTTCAATCTTGAGGTTACCATCGCATGTATCACTGTTGCCAAGTCATTGCATTCAAGGAAGGGAACCAACTGCCTAATCCGCCGGAGGTGGTAAAAGGGTGATTTGGCAGTGGCTGCTACCTGGGCCTCCATTGTTAGTAAAATACAACCAATAGTCTTGAAGGCCTTTGGAGCCTTCGCTCAGACCCAAGCTCCATCAGTACATAATAGGGGAACTTACCAGGAGCAAAGAGAGGCCTATGCTGGCATTGCTGGTGATATGCTTGCTCTGGTTTTTAGGCAAAAAACTCTATTTAGGTTCTCTATATATGGTTTTCCCCTCCAACGAGCTCAGCCACGCCCCCAACGTCGGCAACGTGGCTGCGTCACCTCTGGTGACGCAGCTTGGGGGGCGGGGTTCCCCCCCGGGCCGGAATTCCCCTGCGGCGGAAATCGGGCCGCGGAAGCGGGGGGTTCCCTGCCCCCCGGCCCGATTTGGCAACCCTAATTGTTAGTGAGGCATCCAGGAGCACTCTCAAGCGCCTAACCTTTGGCACTGGCATCAATGGCACCCCACCGAAGGTCGGAAATAGGATCCCTACCCTCAGGCCGCCCCAGCTCAGGCACAGGACCTCCGTCTTCATTGGATTCAATTTCAGTTGGCTCAGTCTGAGGGTCAGGTCACACAGACATTTAGTGCGGGCTTCGCTGCTGATCCCTTGCACATTAAAGTTTCCTGTTCATTTTGGCAAACCTGCCTCCCGCACCGAAGCGGTCTCAGTCCCGCGGTTTCCGCTCTTTTTATCCGCGTTTTCTGACACCCATTGGAACAGGTGTTTTCCGATCTCTCACGCTTTGTATCCACGGTTTTGGCATCTAGACAGCAATCTGCTGTGACCGCGCTACCCTCCCCCCCTTTTTTGTGTTTCCGGTTTAAGTTATGCGCATGTGCAAACAGGCGCTAGCTTTTATTTTGGTCTTCTTTGTATGTACGCCCAAGCGCATGCACAGGTTATTTAAAACAAAAACAAAAAACCCTGCGCCGCCGCGGGGACGGCGCACTGTGTGATCAGTACTTCACGCGAGTGAAGCGGAAGACAGAGGGACCGTCTGACCACCTCCAAGCGATATAAAATGTCGCAGATAGAAGAACTGCGGGAAAACTAGCGTGGTAAGAGGTCTGTGTGACCGCAGCCAGAGTCAACCAGCCATGGCTTGCAACGCCCGGTCCAGATCTTCCAGTGTAAAGTCAGACTGGCCGCCCAGCAACAGATAGAGCTGGGTGTCATCCACATACTGGTGACATCCCAGCCCATGCCTCCAGGCAATCTGGGCAAGGGGGCACATGTAGATGTTAAATAACATTGGGGAAAGCACCGCCCCTTGGGGCACTCCACAAATCAGTGAGTGCTTTTGGGATAGCTGCTCCCCTAGCACCACACTTTGTCCCCGACCCTGAAGGAAGGAAGCCAGCCATTGCAAGGCAGGTGCCTGGACTCCAGTGTCGGCGAGGCAGTGGATCAGTACCTGATGGTCGACCATGTCAAACGCCACCGACAGGTCCAACAGCAACGTCACTGCCAATATGCCCTGATCCAGATGCCCCGGAGGCCATCCATGAGGGCGACCAGTGTCATCTCTGCCCCTTGGCCTGGGCAGAAACCAGACTGGAAAGGATCTAGAATGGAAGTGTCATCCAAAAAGCTCTGTAGCTGAATTGCCACAGCTCTCTCAATTATTTTGCCCAAATACGGCAGATTGGAGACTGGCCAGTAATTAGCCAATTCGGCCAGATCCAGAGATGGCTTTTTCAGGAGGGGACGAACCACAGCTTCCTTGAGTGCCCTAGGGAACTGTCCCTCCGAGAGGAACTTGTTGATAATCTCTCTTAGGGCATCTTGAAACCCATCACGGCCAGCTTTAATTAGCCATGATGGGCACGGGTCAAGGCAGCAAGTGGTAGGGCATACAGTTAAGAGCAGTTTGTCAACTTCCTCCAGGCTGAGTGGACTGAAATAATCCATAGCCTAACTAGAAGACATGCATGGAGCCTCGAGTTCACTTACCGTCTCAACTGTGGCAGGGAGGTCACGGTGGAGCAACAGGACTTTATCTGCAAAGTAGCTCGCAAAGGCCTCACAGCCAGTGTCCAGTTTTCTAACATTTGGTCTGCCTTGTGGCAGAACAGTCATAGACCGAATTATTCTAAATAATTGGGCTGGGCATGAGCTCACAGATGCAGTTGTGGCCGCATAATACTCTCAGCAGTTTTGACTGCCATCTCATAGGATCTCATAAATGTCCTATAAGATGTTCTTGTGGCTTCGTCGCAGGCGTATCGCTACTGTCTCTCTAGCCATCTTAGCCTTCGCTTCATCAGCTGCAACTCCTGGGTAAATGAAGGAGCCAGCCTAGAGTGAGGGCGTAGAGGGCATCGAGGAGCGATCTCATTAATGGCTGTCAAGAGTCAGCTGTGCCAGTCCTCCACAAGCTCATCTAACGAGCTGCCAGGGGGCATCGAATCCCACAGGGCCATTTGAAGCCACATAGGGTCCATTTGGCTCCGTGGGTGAGCTGAAATCTGCTTGCCACCCAAACAGGGTCGGGGTGAAACATTCAGATGGGCCTTCAGGGCATGATGTTCCAACCATGGCATCGCTGAGGCAGTGACCTGGTCCTCCGTGACCCCTGCCACGAAGATCAGATCGAGCATGTGTCCGGCTCGGTGAG